AATAAATTTATTTTAATTGCAAAAAGTTCATATATTCAATTATTTCTATAGGTTATGCATTAGATGAAGAAAAGAAATATCAATAAGCCATTGATGAATGCGAAAAGGTTTTGATAGAAGAACCTTTATTTATACATGCTTTGTATAGAAAAAGTACTCATTTATTTTTTAAATAGGCTTTTCGTTATCAAATTTGAATGAACATTCACAAGCAATTTAATGCATTGATAAAGCTTTAAATTATGATTCAAAATATATTGTTGGATATAACACAAAGGGTAAAATTATTAGTTTATGATTGTAATAGGTTATTCATTAGATGATCTTAGAAAATATGATGAAGCACTAGTTTGTTATGATAAGGCAATCAAACTGGATCCTAATTATGCAAATGCTTATAATAATAAGGGTTAATAATTATGTTATTTTAATAGGTAGTTTATTAGATGATCTTGGACGATATAATGAAGCAATAGGTTATTATGATAGGGTAATCGAACTGGATCCTGATGATGCAATTGTTTTGAATAATAAGGGTTAATGATTATTTTAATGTAATAGGTTATTCTTTACGTCATCTTGAAAAATATAATAAAGCATTAGTTTGTTATGACAAGGCAATCAAACTGGATCCTAATTATGCAATTGCTTATAATAATAAGGGTTAATAATTATGATATTGTAATAGGTAGTTCATTACATAATCTTCAAATATATAATGAAGCAATAGTCTGTTTTGATAAGGCAATCGATCTGGATCCCAATTATGCAATTGCTTATTATAATAAGGGTTAATAATTATGTTATTATAATAGGTAATTCATTATGTCATCTTCAAAAATATAATGAAGCACTAGTTTGTTATGATAAGGTAATCGAACTGGATTCTAATTATGCAGTTATTTATAATAATAAGGGTAAATAATAAAGTTATTGTAATAGGTAATTTATTACATAATCTTCAAAAATATAATGAAGCAATAGTTTGTTATGAAAAGGCAATCGAACTGGATCCTAATTTTACAATTGCTTATGATAATAAGGGTTAATAATTAAGTTATTATAATAGGTAATTCATTACGTCATCTTCAAAAATATAATGAAGCAATAGTTTGTTATGATAAGGCAATCAAACTGGATCCATTTTATACAATTGCTTATAATAATAAGGGTTAATAATTATGATATTGTAATAGGTAGTTCATTACATAATCTTCAAAAATATAATGAAGCAATAGTTTGTTATGATACGGCAATTCATCTGGATCCTAAATATGCAATTGCTTATTATAATAAGGGTTAAGAATTATTTTATTGTAATAGGTAGTTCATTAGATGATCTTGGAAAATATAATGAAGCACTAGTTTGTTATGATGAGGCAATCAAACTGGATCCTAATTATGCAATTGCTTATGATAAAAAGGGTGAATAATTACGTTATTTTAATAGGTGCTTTATTATCTTATATGAAGAAGTATTAATAAGCCATAGTGAATTATGAACAAGCACTTTATTATTTCCAAAAAAATAATGACCAAAACAAATATTCAAATTTAATTATGGAATTAAGAAATAAGTAATGAATATTAATAAAATATCATTCATAAAATATTAATATGAGTTATTTTATCTACATTTAAAGAATACTTTAATTTTGATGCTATTTTTATTATAATAGTAGAATGGCTTTCTTTTTAAAAAGATAACGATATTAATTACATAAGTAGTAAAAATAAATATATTATTTTCCTTTCTATTTTAATTTAGAAAAAAATTTATCTCTAGTTGTCAGCTTCGCATTTACTAAGTTCATTATTATTCCCCATAAGGATTAGTTGAAACAGATCGAATCTCATATCAAATCAAATATTAGATGCATTTTTTAATTAATTACTTTAATTTAATA